GTGGGTAAAATTATAACATTTTCCAGAATATCTCACCTAGCTTTAGTGCATTTGCATATGTTCAGGGTGGAGAGAAGTTCATCTCCATGTCAATGAGTAATTACCTGAGCATCCAAGGGCATGTCTGAACCTGAGAGGTCAAGGGGAGGGGCTTGCTTGCTTGCTTCTTCTGGAGCAGGGCAGAGTGATAATGCTGGACTGCAGTTTGTAAGCAGTAAACTGGTTTTAAACTTTATTTCTCCCTTTGACTGATTTCGGTGTTTAGAGGTATTTTGCCCCAGGATTTCCTCTCCCTAGACTTACAAAAGCCTATTAAAAATTGTTTAGTAAAGTGTTTAGTTTGAAATACAGCTTATTTGGAAATGATCATCATATGGGTTAGTCAATCATGGTCCTGCCAATCAAGGATATGCTATGGAGCAATTAAAAAGAATAAAATGGGGCTATATATGCTGCAATGGAAACACATTTCAGACCTACAAATATGCAAAAAAAAAAGAGAGAGAGGACAGAAAGATGCCATAACAATACATACAGTATGGCACCATGTGTACTAAAATAGAAACAAATCATACATGTGTGTATTTGTTAATGTACAAAAAATTTCTGGAAGGAGGATGAGAGACTCTTAGTAGTGGCTGCCTACCTCTGGGGGGTGGGAGGAGGGTCTCTTACCTTCCTGTCCTGTCTGAATTTTGTAAGAGTGATTAGCTTATAAAAAGTAAAAACTAATTGCTTTTTAGGAAAAGCAATTTTTTTGTCTTGCCTCATATTGACAGTATATACTCAGTATACACTCAGTGGCTATAAAGCCTGTGTCAGCCTCAAGCTCACAAAGTAAGCGCCCTGTTGCTTACTTAAGTGGTGCCCTCAACACTCATGTGTTATAAAAAAAAAAATGTCACAACCAAGTAAGGGTGTGTCCAATCTAAAAAAATTATAGTGATACCTATATGTACATAGTGGCAGTCTAGGAAGGGAAAAAAGTCCTTTTCCAAGAATGTCTTTATGGAAGTAATATATGATGCAAGCAGTAATTTTAAAGGTAGATCACAAGTAGACTGGCAAACCTGTCCTTGGTATAAACACCTACCAAAAAATGTCAAATAAATGCATCAACAACCTGTAACATCCCTTCCTGTAGCTATTAAATATGCAATTATGAGAGAACCCACTTTACAAAAATTTAAAAACCCTCCCTGCATGGAAGATTGATCACACATAGGTTGGATTAGGGCACAGCTTAGAATGAAAGTGTGTCTTCAAAAGTACCACGCTCGCTGGTCTTTCTCCCAAGCTGCCTTTGTACCAGGGGAGCAGTCAAAGTCCCACCTGAAAGCAGCATCGAGGGATCAGGTGACACAAAAGGCAGAGGAAAACTCCATGCCCCCACCTCCCTACTCACCCCAGACAGAGCAAACCAGGTACAGACAATATGTGGAGATTTCAGTTACCATTAGGGTATCATCAGATAATGTTCCTCTCAGTTCACGATTTTGAAAAAAGTTCTACAGGATTTTGAAAGTAGCATTTAGATGTATTAACACCATTGAAAATAAACTTTTCAGTGGGAAAGAATTCCCATTTTATGACAGGCATCTATGAAAAGATATCACTTGATTGATAGCTAACTTTTCAAGGTCATAGATTCCACAAAGAAAGTACCCTGTTGCTTACTTAAGTTAAAGTATATCACTCATGGCTACCATCTACTCAGCACATGCACTCTCTTTCCAGTCTTCACAATAACCCAAAAGTGGGTACCATTAACCCCATTTTACAGATGAGAAACTGAGACAAAGCAATAAAGCCTGCTCAAGTTCACTCAGCCACCCAGGGGTGCAGCCAGGACATCCTCCAGTTCTTCCAGAGCTCAAGGGCCATTTCCTCTTCTGCCAGGGGTGACTAAATAAGGCATAAGGGTTAATGCAGCCAATCCAGAGCAGAGCAATGACCTTGCAGTGGCCTGGCTAGACAGTGATCTGATCCAATCAGACTTCCTCTCTGAGAATAGCAGTGGCAAGCAGTGAGCTCACAATGTGCACAGTACAGGGGTCAGGACCATCTGAAGCTGTGCAGTCACAGAAGCTTCAGAGCAGAGGAAGGAGGGCTCAGGCTAAAAACAGACACAGCTCACGAGTGTCCCAATCCCATCAATGCCAGAACACAAACGTAATGATCCCAGGGGACCTTGCTCCTAAGGTCACAGAGGTGCTTTTCCTGTCTCAAACTACCACCAGTCACCTGTGGACAACTGTTGTCTACTCTCCCCTCCTGGGATAGCCATTCCCTTCCTCTGTTGCAACATATTTCTACCACGTCCAGGGGGGCCAAGGGCCTCACTAATGAACCTCACTTCTTGGATGTCCTAGCATTTGGAAGCAGGGGGCCAACTGATCATTTCCAGCACAACTCAGCAATGACTTATCATTTCTGACAATTCTGTAAGTTGGCAAGGCCTAGCTGCATGGTTCTTATGTTCCATGTGGTCTCTACTGGCTCTCAGCTGGGGCTGATGCATCCAAGATGGCTTCATGCAGACAACTAGTTCGAGTAGCTGGAATAGTTGGGGACTGTCTAGACTTCTCTGCATATGATTGTTCAAGCCTCTTGGCATCTGGATCCCAGGAGGGTAAAACAGAAGCAGCAAGTCTTAGGAAGGCCTTCCAATGTGTTCTACCAGTCAAAGCAAGTCACAGGGCCAGGCCCATCTCAAAAAGAGAAACAGATTCCACTCCTTGATAGTAAGTGACATGAGCATACAAGAATTACTGGCAGCCCTCTTTGCAGACAATCTACCACAAAATTTAACTGAACTTGTCAAATCTTACTCAGATATTTCAGGTGCCCTTCTGCCCTTCTCCCTTACCTCCTTGTTCCTGCCTAGAATGTGGATGTTATAACTGGAACTTCAGTAGTCATCTTGCAACCATGAGGCAACCTGGAAGAAAGAAGCTATACACTAAGGATAGCAGTAATAAGGAGATTAGGTTCCTGGTGAGATAAAGAACCTGCTATACCAGCCAAGGACTGCCTACTTCCAGAGCACTCACTGATTAAAAAAGAAAAAGAAAAAAACCCTCTATCTTACTTAAGCAACAGTTACTTGTCACATAGCCCACAATACAACACTTGCTGTTTTTTAAAAAATATAACTAATAGTACATATCTGACTAATTGCTAAATTCCATTAAACTCATATCAAATATACTAAAGCAAGATTCAAGGTAAAAGTTTAGTGATAAGGACTTTGCCTCTAAGGTACTAGGAGTCATTCCCTGCGGGTTTATGAGAAAATGTTAAGAGGCTCCTTAATACTTCATAAAAACACTGCCTGAAGAAATCATTTTTAACCTCTTTCAGGCAAAACTAAGCTTGAGTGCCTGTTCTGAAAAATCCCAACACTTTGAAAGGAATAGTATGTGAAGTTCAACTGCAGTGACCATATCCTCTCCCACCCCACACCCCTAATTTCTCATTTCTCATTCAGTCAACAATCCGTCTCCATTGCCATGTCTGATTCATGGAAATGTAACCTGCCTTTTCTTATCCCTTCCACATATTTTAAACACCAAATGAACAGGCAAGTTTTAAAACACAAGAATAGGATTTCTTTATTTTTTTAACAGATGTGCATAGGAGGACCCTAGGGCTGGTAAATTGAGAAATGGGAAGGACTAGTCAGGTACTGAAGGCCTGACTGGGGCACACAGATTTGGGTCTGCAACAACTAACAGCCCCTCAGCCATCAAATACAAGAACAGAAGAAATAGCAGCATGGTAGCATAATACATTTCTTTTGAAAAGTATCTTAACTTGGTTATGCTATCATTTCACTCATTTTCATATACAGTTTTGCCAATTTCATGTAAGGTTCCCCTCTTGGCCCTGCAAATAAAGTTTTATTTGACTTTTGCATATGTTTCAAATTATTGGAATTTTTATATTCCTTTCTATTCTAAACTAGTAGTTAGCTGTCTAAAACAAAGGGACACATTCTTGAAATATGTTTAAATAAAGGGTACTACTGCGGCCATATACAATATTATTGAGACTTGTAGTAACAATTTGTTGTGCTGTTTTGCAATACTTTAATCCTAAAGTCTAATTATTTACATCTAAATGCTTTTATAGGAGGATTCCTCTTTGAATGTTCATCAGGGTATAGAAAATTACAGCAACTTGCAATTTATCTCATAATCCAGTTAAATGTTTGTATCTTATCATTTGATCATTTGTTCAACACACACACACACACACACACACACAAAACTTGTTGCCTGCACTTTGCATACGATTTCATTGCTAACATGATAATCCCAGTGACGACCATGGATTCTTAACCAATGACCTCCTCTGATTCCACAGAGTTACTCAGTGTCATGCCCCAGACACATGTCAACAGCCCTCTTGGAGCTAACTCGCGCACGTACTGAGCTGAAATTGTTTTACTTCCCATATCTTTGCTTCTTGTCTTTCTGTTCTTTCCCGTTTCCATTGACTTTCAATCTTAAAGCACCCGAAAGCGGTGGCTGTTTATTCCCGTCTGAGCTCATTTACCCACACAGTTACTCAAAACTCCGGGGCACAGACGCAGGCTCTACCACTGGTTACAGAATAAACAGTTTAGCCAAGGTCCTTGAGGGAATGATTAATGCTCAGCACTAATAAAACAGCCACTCACTCCCCACAACACCACCACCACCACACGCCTCATCTCATTAGCATTACTTATTTTTAAGGCTACCACCATGAGCTCACTTGGTAGAAGGTCCTTTCAGAAATCCTGACCGCAGCCCTGGAAGACACGATCGTGCCCAGGCTCGAGTACTGAGCCGGCTGCGCTCTCCGTTTCAGCCCATTTCACCCACTGACTGCCTGAGTCTTGGGCCCCGGCTCTGAACGAAACGCTGGGGTCGCTGGACGCGGGCTCGCCTGGATGCGTCGGGGACCCGGGCGCGGGCTCGCCTGGTCACTCGCGGACACTGGCGTACGCTCACCTGGGTCGCACTCGGACTCGGGCACGGGTCACCAGGTCCCGCGGAGCCGCGCCGGCAGCCCCTGGGTTCCCCTCCGGGCCCCGCCGCAGCGGCCGCAACCCCGCCTGCCCCGCCGAGCTGCCAGCAGGGAGTCCTTGCCAAGTTCCCCCGCGGGCCTGGAAAGAGAGGGCTGCTAGGAAGACGTACACCCTATTTCGCGGGGTCTTTCCGTACCAAGGGACCGCTCTAAACCAGTTCCCACGTTACACCCACCCGGAGCTGCCCGGCTCTTCCCTTTCCCTCCGGTTGGGGAATTAGCGGCGAGGCGCCGGGATGCATCGGAAACAGAAAGAACACGACTTTCCCCCTGCTGGTGACTGTGAGGAACTGTATGTGGCGGAACAAGCCTTCAAGTCAGGTTTCCTTTCCTAGTAGCCAAAGTTGGGGGTCTCTCCTCTCTACATCGAAAAATTTTGAACACTCCCTTTTATTCATTTTGTTATCTTTTAAGTGCCATATTACGAGAAGGCGACTCATTTATAACTTTCATATTAATGAAAATGAGAAAAATGAAGACGTACATAACCACATTAAAAAATTATTATGGAAATTTACAAACATAAAAGGCAGAAAAGTATAATGAGGTTACAGCTTTTGGTAACAGTGGACTAATCTTCCTACAGATAGCAATTATAATATCTGAGCAAACTTTTTTTTTATTTGCTTTTTAGGACAGTGAAGGATTTTATTAATATTTTTATTTACAAATTTTTTACTAAGCTATTATTGATACAAACTCTTATGAAGGTTTCACATGAAAAACAATGTGGTTACTACATTCACCCATATTATCATGTCACCCCCATACACCATTGCAGTCACTGTCCATTAGTGTAGTAAGATGCCACAGAGTCACTACTTGTCTTCTCTGTGCTACACTGTCTTCCCCATGATCCCCCCCAACACCATGTGTACTAATCATAATACCTCTCAATCCCCTTCTCTCTCCCTCCCCACCCGCCCTCCCAAACCCCTCTCCTTTAGTAACTGCTAGTTCATTCTTGAAGTCTGTAAGTCTGATGCTGTTTTGTTCCTTCAGTTTTGCTTTGTTGTTATACTCCACAAATGAGGGAAATCATTTGGTACTTATCTTTCTCTGCCTGGCCTATTTCATGGAGCATAATACCCTCTAGCTCCATCCATGTTGTTGCAAATGGTAGGATTTGTTTCTTTCTTATGGCTGAGTAGTATTCCATTGTATTATATGTACCACATCTTCTTTATCCATTCATCTACTGATGGACACTTAGGTTGCTTCCCTATCTTGGCTATTGAAAATAGTGCTGCAATAAACATAGGGGTTCATATGTCTTTTTGAATCTGAGAACTTGTATTCTTTGGGTAAATTCCTAGGAGTGTAATTCCTGGGTCAAATGGTATTTCTATCTTTAGTTTTTTGAGGAACCTCTATATTGCTTTCCACAATGGTTGAACTGATTAGCATTTCTGCCAGCAGTGTAAGAGGATTCCCCATTCTCCGAATCCTCCCCAGCACTTGTTGTTCCTAGTCTTTTCAATGTTGGCCAGCCTAACTGGTGTGAGGTGATATCTCATTGTGGTTTTAATTTGCATTTCCCTGATAATTGGCGATGTGGAGCATCTTTTCATGTGCCTGTTGGCCATCTGAATTTCTTCTTTGGAGAATTGTCTCTTCATATCCTCCACCCAATTAAAAATTGGGTTATTTGCTTTTTGGTTGTTGAGGCATGTGAGTTCTTCATATATTTTGGATGTTAACCCCTTGTCAGATATGTCATTTATAAATATATTCTCCCATACTGTAGGATGCCTTTTTGTTCTGCTGATGGTGTCCTTTGCTGTACGGAACCTTTTTAGCTTGATATAGTCCCATTTGTTCATTTTTGCTTTTGTTTCCCTTGCTCAAGGAGCCGCATTCAGGAAAAAGTTGCTCATGTTTACATTCAGGAGATTTTTGCCTATGTTGTCTTCTAAAAGTTTTATGGTTTGATGGCTTACATTCAGGTCTTTGATCCATTTCGAGTTTACTTTTGTGTATGGGGTTAGACAATAATCCAGTTTCATTCTCTTGCATGTAGCTGTCCAGTTTTTCCAACACTGGTTGTTGAAGAGGCTGTCATTTCTCCATTGTATGTCCAATGAGCAAACATTTAAAACAAATTATTTAAAGGCCTTGGAGATTGACCCAAAGAAGACAGAAACTGGAGAGACCACTCTTGAAAGACGAATGGAAATTGTTGAGATTTGTGAGTTTGTGGCTTTTTACCTGAGGGCAATCCATAATCCATGAGCAGATCCAACTGCAGAGACCCACAGCCTGGCTGGCTTGAAGGGGACAGAATACCGAGCTTGAAGCTAGTAGAATTGGAAAATTAGGGGAGTGATCCAGGGAGGAATCCACGGTGAGGATGAACCCCTAAATATGAGTTGTATTAGTTTTCTATTGCTTCCATACAAATTCCCACAGCTTAGCAGCTTAAAAAAACACAGACTTATTATTTTACAGCTCTGGAGGTCAGACAGAAGTCCGGTACAGTCTGTCTGGACCAAAATCAACATGTTGACAGGCTGTGTTCCTTTCCAGAGGCTGTAGGGAAGAATCCGTTTCCTACCTTCTTGCTGGCTCTCAGCTGAGGGTCATTCTCAGCAACTACAGGCCACTGCTGTATTTCATGACTTGAGGCTTCCTTCCTTCATCTTCAAAGCCCACAACTTTGGGTTGAATCCCTTTTATGCTTTAAATCTGTCCTCTTTATTCTGTCTTACCTTTCTGATACAGGCTTCGAAAGGTTCTCTGCTTTTAAGAATTAGATGGGGCCCACCCAGATTATCCAGAAAAACCTAATCATATCTGCAAAATTCCTCTTGCCCTACATAGTAATAAATTCAGATTCTGAAGATTAGGATATGGTCATTTTAAAGGAGCCATTATACTGCCTACCAGAGTCTGCCCTCTGACCCCTCACACCCTGATATAAATATTATATTAAATATAAATATATTAGGCATTCCAATTAAATGACAGATTATCAGACTGCATCAAAAACAAAACAAAAATTAGACCAAAATGGCATACTATGTACAAAAAAAAAATTTTTAAGCACCTTAACTACAAAGTACTTGAGAATAAAAGAGAAAGAAAAGAAATCTGAAGTGGCCAACAAGAATATAAGAAGATGTTCAACATCACTAATCATTACAGAAATGCAAATCAAAATCACAAGATATCATCTCACATCCATTAAGATGGTCACTATTTAAAAAAAAAAACAGACAAGAACAAATGTTGATGAGGATGTGGAGAAATTGGTGTGCTTGTGTCCTGTTAGTAGGTTTATGGAAAACAATATGGAGGTGCCTCAAAAAATTACAAATACAAATACCATATGATCCAGCAGTCCCACTGGGTATTTAAAAGAATTAAATGCAGAATCTCAAGGTGATATCTGAATACCCATGGCTATGGCAGCATTATTCAAAGTAACCAAGAAGTGGAAACAAATGTCTATTGACAAATGAATGGATAAAGAAAATCTGGCATATAATGGAATATTATGCAGCCTTTAAGAAAGGAAATCTTCCCTATTATGCATTCTTTTGAAAAAAGGAAATATAAGCTACCACATGCATGAACCTCAAGGGCAATATGCTAAGTGAAATAAGACAGTCACAAAAGGACAAATATTGTATGATTCCACTCATGTAAAGTATCTAAAAGAGTCAAAAAATCATAGAAACATAGTAAAAAGGTGGTTTCCAAAGGCTAGGGAGAGAGAGGAGGGGAAACCAGCATTTAAATGGGTATAGATTTTTAGTTTTACAAGATAAAACAGTTCTAGAGATCTGTAGCATAACAATGTGAATGTACTTAACACTACTGAACTGTACACTTAAGAATGGTTGAGATAATATTACAACATCTTTGTATGGTGACAGACACTTATGATGAGCATTTAGTAAGGTATACAATTGATGAATCATTAAGTTGTTCATCTGAAACAATATAATATTGCATATAAGCTATATTTCAAAAATAAAAAATGAGATGTTAAATTCAATGTTATGTGTTTTTTACCACAATAAAAAAAGAAATCTGAAGTGCTATATTACTATTTGACAAACAGACATTAAGATAGAATATTATTAGAGATAGAAAAGGAAATTTCATAATGATAAAAGGCCAATACATCATAAAAACATAATTATAAGTGTTTATGGGCCTAATATCAGAGCTTCAAAATATCTTAAGAAAAACTAACAACTAAAAGGAGAAATAAGCAAATCCACAATCACAGTGAAAGATTTTAGACCCTCCTCTTGATAACATAGAACTAGACACATGAAAAAAATCAATAAATATATAGCATAGCTAAAACACTATAATCCAGGGGTTGGTGAACTATGGATTTGGTCTATGGGCCAAATCCAACAAATAAAATTTCACTGGAAAACAGCCATACCCATACCCATTTGTTTAGCTTTGTCTATGACTATTTGTGACTGCTTTCAAAAATTGAGTGGATGTCACAGAGACTATAAGGCTTGCAATTGTTTTTCGACATAGATGGTAGAGAAATTCAGTGGGGAAAGGCAAAGGCAAGTTTTTTCAACAAATGGTGCTTGAACTACTGACACCCCTATTTCATAGCACACAAAAATTAATTTGAGTTGTCTCAAAGACCTAAACATAAACTAAATTATTAAGCTTTTAGAAGAAAATAGAAGAACATCTTGTCTTGGGATAGGTGAGCAATAACCAGAAAAGTAAAATTAATAAATTAGATTTCATCAAAATAAAAACTTCTGCTCATCAAAAACACCATTAAGAAAATGGATAATCAAGCCATCGATTTTTTTAATTGAGGTATAATTGACACAACATTATATTAGTTTCAAGTATATATATATATATATATATATATATATATA